AAAAGTTTCAGTTACAGCAAATTATACAAAAAATCTACACTGGTAGAAAGATTTAAGCTTACATCTCGTTTAACGTTTAAAACGACATATCAATGCCTGCAACCATTATGTTTTATACGAACCTAGCAAACTTTTAAACACGTTCTCTTTGATACCTGCGAAAGTATCCAGTATAATTACCGGTAAGATTTTCGCGGACATTCTGATCGATTTCTCTTACATTGTGTGCTGAGACTGAAACTTTTCACCACGGGCAAAGCTTCGTCGCACGGCTCAAACAAACATAGCGAGCAACAGAGCTTCTTGTATATGTCCGTATTAAAACACACGAGAGGACTCCAAGGCACACTTCACTCTGATTGGGCAGGAAAAAAAAAGATTTTCTGGCACCAATCAGATGCCAGAACCACTGTGACCGTTTGGAACTAGTCTTGTAAGACAATGTCCCCAGGGGACATTGTGTGACCTTCTGCCCTTAACTTGAAATCGACTCACAGCCCCTGGGTCTCCGAGGATGATTGAAAACGTTCCCCGTTCGTCGGTCACACAAGAGGCTGAGAGGAGCTTTTTATTTGACTTTCCACTGATAGGCTGTGTTAGTACGGCTTCTGCAAACTCTATGCTCGTTTTCTTGCCAAATCCCAAAGCTGTATTTCGCCGATTCCATGCTTTTGAATTGATCTCGTAAGCCGCGTAATTCGGCGACTTTTCGTCGTACAGGACGATCTTTTTTCGATAGCTTCATTATAGCAAACGCGGAAGGAAACGTCAAAAATACGTAGTACATAGACGATAGACATATGAAGAAACCAGACGAGGGTATAAAAAGCCGGTTTTCGATTAAGATTGCAACGATTTAGTTGAATAACATTACACACACGGTAGGTTTTCTTTTTTCTGTAAGACAGAAAATCCTGAGTAAGGCCGGTCGAATTACACGCACGACTCTCCGGACGGTGCTGTTTAGCAATAGGGCAAACATAACAACCTTCCTATCGATCCCCTGGAGAGTCATTTATTTGGTCAGTTGCGCTTCGATATTAATATTAGTATCCCGTAGTAAGGCCAAACGCTGGGCGGTAAGAAACCGTATGAAGCTAAACCTCACTAAGACCCGGAGATGGTGGTGCATGGTAGAATTTCCAAACCACTGCCATCTCTGGTACTGGGAATTGAACGGAAAAGCTGGTTGAAATTGCTTGGCATGAATTTCCAGGAAAATCCATCGGACTGGGACCTTCATGTTGATAATTTGCTACGCAAAGCTAGTAGTCGTTTATATATTCTAAGCGTTGGTAAATATTTTGGATATCCTAAAGAGCAACTGACTAAAATAATTGGATCTCTTAATCATGTCCCTGTTTTTATATGGAATTGAGATTTGGGGAGCGGCATATCAAGGTAAATACCTTGATCGCATTGACAGGTTTTTTAAGTGAGCGTTTAGGTTTGGTTACACCAACAGCCTGAATGTAATAGCTGAAGTTATAAGAAACCGAGACAGTAAGCTATGGAAAATTATCACAGATACTCCTTCCCACCCCCTTTATCAACTATTACCTCCTAAAAAACAAAGATTTTTGCGAAACAGAGGACATGATTTTATTTTACCTGCTGTTAAAACAGAACGTTTTAAGAGATCCTTTATTGATATGTGTCTTTTTAATTTTATTTAATTGTACTTGATCTTAATATTTTGTAAAGTCACACGTGTGCTGTGACTACCTCAATGAATGAATAGACTCTTAATGAATAATAAAGACAAACGGATACGAGTATCTAGAAAGCGATGTAGCCAGAAAGGTTGGTAAAACGGAGCGTCTCTCCCATCGATGCGGCGGAATTTGGAAACTTTTGCCGCTCGATCGGGTAGTTATTAGCAAAGCGCTTTCGCGGGTGGAAGTTCCAGGGAGATCGGTCGACTTCTGTGGAATTTATCGGCCTCCGATTGGCGACGGGTGGTGTTAGGGACCGGTTAAAGTGACCAGCCTAGTGTTTTTCTATAAGCAGTTGAATGGTAGAACCACACGTGTTACAATGAAAGTCGCAAAAACAGTGTTAAAACGACTATCTTGGGACTAGCTGACAGCCCCCTCTACAACCAGCAAGCGGTGTACGGTGAATTCAAGGAGCAGTTGGTGAGAAGCGAACAGGGCTGGTATGAGACTGGCTTGTCTTGGAAAGGAGATCGGTCAACTCCGCCGAAAAATGAGAAGGGGAGTCTACAACGACTGCGAACTCTAACACAAGTTGCAGCGGGCAAAGCAAACAGAATATGACCTCGGGAGTTGAATACCCACCTCGGGAGTTGAATTTTACATTTCCCATACACCAGTGGTACGGGAAAATCCGAAGTCTACAAAAATGCGCTTTGTTTACGACGCGTCTGCCAAGGCACACCCATCAGCACCATCCTTAACTGAATTCCATAACGCTGGCCCTTCGTTACAGAACAAGCTCTAGGATGTATTCGTTCACCAGCGCTGCCACCCAGTTGCAGTGATCGGAGATTTAAACAAAGTGTTTCTGCAGGTGCGAAACAGAAAATCAGACAGGGTTGCGCTTAGAATTCACTGGAGGAATGATGAACACTCTAAACTCAAAGGATTCAGGCTTACTAGAGCGCTGTTTAGCCTGACGTGTTCCTCGTTTCTGCTTGGGGGAGTGCTAGAGTGTCCCCTTGGAACGTGGGAATCAAAACCTGTACGTGGATGACTTGCTGACAGGAGGAGTCACAGTGCAAAAGGCGCAGTACCGGAAGGAGCACGCCATTGAAATCTTCGGTAAAGCAAGTTTCACCTTACACAAGTGGCATTTCAACGTTCCGCAACTGGAAGGAGAGACAGAGAACAAAGTCAAAGATCTGACATTCGCTAAGCAGCAGCTTGGATGAGACAAAGAGAAAGATGAATTGAGCGTCAAGTTTCCGAATGAAACCGTTCAAGCGACCAAAAGGGCGTTTTTAAGCAAGCTTGCCAGAGTGTACAATCCTCTGGGGTTGGTCTCGCCTGTGACACTTGAAGGCAAGATAATCTACAGAAATGTGTGTGACAAGAAACAAGCCCGGGACGCCAAGTTCACGGGACCACTACTATAGCAATGGCAGAAATGGAGCAGTCTTTGCCTTCGCAATTGTCGATGTCAAAGTCGATTACAAGCTATCACGAATCCTTGCAAGAAGTCGAATTACATAGCTTTGGTGACGGGAGTAAACTGGGGGTGAGAGTCCAGAACAACTCACCGCTTGGACCATCGGAGCAGCAACGTTGAATTGGGACGAGCTCAATTACGTCATACTCGATGTAGAAGTCCAAATCAATCGCCGTCCACTAAGCTACATCGATGATGTCGTTCAGCTACCTTCGGCGTTCTTGTTCTAGCGTTTAAGCCTGTTGCCAAAGTAAGAACCTTGGAGGGGTGAAGCTATAGACTTGAGGAGATGTGAGAAATATCTCAAGTTGTGCAAAGATCAACTATGGAACCGCTGGACGAGGGAGTATTTGAATGCTCTCCCTCAGAGGCATAGCCTAAACCATAATTACAAGAACTTCGAGGTAAGAGTGGGAGACATGGTCCTTATTAAAGCGGAAGAGAATAACCGAAACAAGTGGCCGATGGGCGTGGTGCGGCAGCTTTACCTTAGTCGTGACGGGGAGGTGCGAGCGGTTTAATTTGGCACGGGAAAGGGATATCTAGAGAGCGCCATCCAACACCTTTATCCACTGGAGTTGAGCCGTGACAGAGTGACAGTTTGTCCTCCAGTACTAAATCCTCAAGCAGAAGATTTCCACCCTCGCCGAGAAGGCAGCTGCGGCCGCAAACGGCATTGGAGCTGTCACTCTACAAGATCTTGACTCTTGAAAGCTTTCGTTTTCGTTGACACTAAGTAATTTCCGGTAGAACATATTACCTCAAGGAGAGGGGGGAAGGGGGTGTCGGAAATCAGTCTAACTATTGTCAGTTAATGATTCATTGATTAATGTGTCAGATTTCAGATTATCAAATATCAGTTGTTTTTTAGAGAGTTTTAGGACTATACGTGTATATCGAGGGAGTGAACGAATAAATAGGGATTTCTTAATACTCAATTGTTGTGAATTTTCTTTGGCAGGGAAGCCATAGGCGACATAGGTTTAATTTAAGGTCGAGCGCCAATTCTTAACACACCCTCCAGCAATTGGACTCTATCACCGGCTCGGGAAATCGTTGTTCTTTAGGCGTTGGATGGAGGAAAGAGTAACAAAGACCGTGCATTCTAAATGAGTTATCCAGCCATACTAGAGTTAAATCGCGTCAGGCTGATCGCACAATTAGCAAGACATTTTCGAGTACAGTTTTCTAGCTAACCCTTTGTCAGGTTTTCCTTTTCAAACATTATTATCTCGAGGATCGATGTTTTCCAAAATGATGCAAAGCGCCGGTCTGGTCAAACTGCCAAAATGGCATGGTTCGTTGCTCCCAGATTTTCTTTAAATTTGTGGTTTGCTTGCAGAGACTTCATGTGGCAGCCTTCTTACATAGGCTGTGCTGAGTAAGAAAACAAACTTTTCGAATTTTTCAAAATTTAGTCAGTGGACATATGATAAAATGCTTCTTAACTGAGTTAGATCGGGCGGAACGGGAGAATATTCGGCTGTCGTTCATGACATATGGACGTCGTGTACTTAATGACCTCGAGCTAAAATATTTTCCCGTTGGGCCCTCCCGCCCAATTAGTAGCTACAAGTTATTGGCCCGAAATTATAATTGTGGCAGTACGGAATGGGTGCAGCGAGGTTCGTCCAAAAGCGACAAAAGGCCAAGTATACCTCGAGCAAGCGATGTTAATAAGTATTTTATAATATGGCACTCGGGCAAACTTCTTTATTTTAAATTTTCCGGCTTTTGCGAACAAAAATACCCGGCTTATGACCGCTTTCGTGGAAGCCGTCCATATGGCAAAATCCAGACCAAGACTCAAGACTGCTCTGCCATGGAGCAAGTTTTTATAACATTCAAGTTGGAGGTATTTTCAACAAGTGTTCATTTTCTCATTGAGTTTTTTGTTTGTATATACATGTCCTTGCAACTTTTTATCTTGTGCTTGCGTTTTTCTGCTACAAATTCATTGTAGAGAAAGAATCACTCACGATCGCAAGTTTGTCTTTTTATATAGGTGTGGTCGTTAACTCGATCGAATTAGATTTGCTTAGCGTACTGTTATTTTTTTTTTTAGATTTTAACGTGAAAGAAATGTTGATGGGCGTCAGGGACGTTATACACCGATTGATTCGCAGCTTCAACATCCGAGGCAACGCACTTTTTAACTGTCGTCCGTTGAACCTTACCTGGGTGGGGTAGAGAATTTGTACCGGAATTACCTTTTACCTTTTCATTTAGAGGTACTTAAAGTAAATGGTTCAGAAGAAAGTGTCTATACGGTCTAGGTTTGAAAGCTTATTAGCCAAGTCAATTGCTGGTTAATTAGTAGAAATGCAGTAAATGGTTTGAACCCGGGGGTAACATGTGAAGGTGTAGTAATTAGTAATTAGTAATTAGTAGAAAGTTGAGGCCGCTGATTTTGACTTTCACAAAAGATGTGACAATCATATGGGGATCTCTATGGGAAGATGGCTTTCACGGCTAACGGTTAAAGTTTTGGCCATTGGTTTTCCTTTTCATATAGAGGTAGTTAAAGCGCATGGCTCAGAGGTCTGAATGGTATAGATTACAAATCTTGATTAGTCAAATCAATTGCCGGTCAATAAGTAAAAAGTGACAGTCGCTGATTTTGCCTTTTACAAAAGTGCGACAATCAAATGAAGGTCTCTATGGGAAGATAGCTGTCACTTCTAGTGGTTAAAATTGTGGTCATTCTACGGCTAAAGCTTAACTTCTTTCCGGTACGCTTGAAAGAAGAATTGTAAAGGTTAACTTTTTCTACGACCGACATTTGTCAATTTTTACGTCTTAAGGCGAACTTTTTGCCGTTGTACGGCTAAATGTTATGCTAATTGCTTCGGAATTTATTGTGTAATACTACATTGGCGATTTTACATGAGAGGTAGTAATAGCTAGCGTGCGTAGCTGGCTGTTCCTGTTGGGGAGCACTTGAGCAAGTTGCGAAGCCGCAAGGGAAAGAAAAACAAATGTTCACGCACCAAGAGCAAAAAAGCTACAAGTAAAAAGGCTACAGTCTGACATCTGAGAAATTTAAGCCTACCTAACCAACTGCACAAGAAGTAAGTTCTCTTCAAACCTTACCTTTCAGAAAAGGACCGCCTTGTCCTATGATGCCGTCCATGTCAATGGCCCAGACTACAATGGTCACCTCTACTGGATCTGGTTTCCTGTCTTCAGATTTAAACTTCAAAGTGGAGAAGGGAATCTCAAGTGACTGGTCTGCACTACTTCCAACGACAGCGTCATTAAGTATATCTTTTCCACTGTATTGAATCAAATAGTGCAAAGGTTTCAGTGAGGACTTCCACTTGAACTTCTCGCCCCTCTTTATTACTTTTTTCTGTGTGGCATCTTCGATCTTGGTACCTTGAAAATCAAAAGAAAAAATATGTAATAATGATATTCATTTTTTTTTTTAACAAGAGCAACTGCTCACTACCCAGTGGTTTCTTTCACTAGATAGTTAGATACTGACCATAAATCATACCTTTTAAGAGTAAGGTGAAATACTGGATTAACCAACAGATTCTCACAGACATTTGTTATATTTATCTTCAAGTCCATCACGTGTCCAGAATTCAGATCATTTTTCAGTTTCTTCGACTTTATCTTTTATGTATGATTTTTCCCACAAATCAGAGGCAATGTGCCAGTTCTTCGAAAAACGTGTCTATTTTGCATCTGTCGTTCAAGCGGGCCATTACTGCGCCCAAAAAATTGATCGACAGTTTGCACTAGATACTTAGTAGAAGGAAAAAAAATGCACAAATTCCATTTACCCTCACAATTACCGGTACGCAGTTAAATACAACATTCTTAAAAATTTCCAATTACTTCAAAATGATCCCCAAATTGGTATATCCTCTTCGCAACCTCCACAAAACCATTTGAGCCTTTTTAGTCAGAAGTTCACTACAAACCAATGATCAACCTGGAACTGTCAAATGCTCATGCGCACAATGCAAAACTTGTCCTTTTATTCATAACGTTGAGATGAAATCGATCCCTTAGTGATCTATTAATATCACTGATCACTTCACCTAACTCCACCAATGTAATCTATAGCATAAGTTGCACTTATTGCAAAAAGCTACACACAAGTGTAGCATGCAAACGACTAGGTGACTGATTCCGAGAATACCTTCGTGACGTTGAAAGAAACGACAAAGATACATCCACACCAGCTGCTGGACACTTAAACTCCCCCTAATCATTCTAAGCAACATATAGCAGTCTGTAGCCTTTTCCTAAATCTAGGGAGTTCGGGAAGCTACAAAATTCTAGAACAACAATTTAACACAGAATTGACGAACACCTTTCATTCAACTGATATCTCATGGTTTTTCACGTTACGAGATCTCTACCCAGAGTGCAACTCAATTTTTCCGTGTATAACCCACACAAAACCCACAATTCCTCTATTCGCTCAGACGAAGGGGTACTGCTCGAAACGTCAGCCATAGAAAATGCACTGGTGAAACCAAATCATCTTGAAATACCCCCCGACACAGTACCACAATTTCTTGAGCGACTTAATACCTCAAAAAAATTTCGAAGGCCAGAATAAGTAGACCTGTAAACATATGAAATATTACTAAGTACCAAACAAGTAATATAATTTAACAGGCACTTACTTGTTGTTTCATTTAGGGTAATCAGAAAAGTTTTCCTTGTTCCTGACAAGTCACTTGCAGTACATTCATAAGATCCATAGTCGGCATCACTGATATTAGACAGATCCAAAACTGTGGATAGAAATCTTCCAAGTTTTACACCTTTAAATGTCCATTCAACTTCTGGTGATGGCTGGGCAGTCACTGGGCAACACAGGTTAACATTTTCTCCTTTTTGTACCTCATACATTCTCTTAGTGCATGATTTATTGTCTTCCTTCAAACCTGAAGAAATAAACAATAACGAGGGTTTTCCTTAAAGACCTACAACAGATCTGATAACACTTTTTGTAATGCCTGAAAAGCATCATCTATGAATGACATGACCCAACGGCCTTCAACGTTTTCATGATAACCACAACATCAGTCGCACTAAGAGAATATCGGTACTAACTGAAGCTTTACTGAAATAAGATAATTCTCAAACAGATTCCCTATGAATCATGAATGAAGAATCATTAGTCATGTGTAAATGGACACACGATGTCCTCAAAAGTAATTGGTTCTCATGGTTCATGCTCTTTACTTCACAAACATTTTTGACATCAAGTGTGCACAAAAAGCAGAGCTCTAAGAAATACATTTTCTCGCGAATTCCCTGACAAATAGAAATTAAAATGGCTCTCGCAGAGCCTAGGCAAAATCTAAAGAAAAAAACTCCAAAAAAAGGAAAGGAACGAAATATAAAAGAAACTGTTGTTGCTCCAATGGCTAAAATTTGATTTGTCTTGTGATAGAAAACGATAAATAAATGCCATTCCATTTAAGCTTGAGCATTCATGACCAGTGGACTAGAGAGAGAATAGCTCCCTAAGTTGTGGCATTAAAAAATTTGTCCACCTCACCGATAGTCTAAACTTCCAGATGTTTTTTTGTGAAACGGAGACATGTTCAATTCACATAACTCACATTTGTGACTCATTGATTTGATATCTTTGCCTTTCCTCAGCGTAGCAGAAATTTCTAATTTCTGTACTGCATTGAAACTTTATCCTAATAGCATTAACATGACTAGCCACGCTTTCCTAAGTTTTGTTCGTCTGTGATTACTGTGCTTTGGAAAAAGCCAGCATTTAAATGGAAACCAAACCGGGGAATGTCCAACCATAAACGGAAATAGTTTACCTTCTGGTAATTGGAGCAGCCATGAGAGAGAAATCAACAATTTGGTGCTGCGATTTCAAGCTCCCTTGAAGTACTTGGCTAACAAGAGAGTCCATTAGCTCCAAAGAGGTGACTACAAACCAACGTTCTATCAAGTCTCGTGTTTAATGCGTGGCTTGACAAGTTCAAGCATACCTATACTCAACAAACAACGCAAGCTGATACTGGGGTGCAGGATACAAAAGAGATGGTTCAAGCTGCCGCCTCTATAACGTTTTTTCTGACTTTTCGTTGCTTAATACTGGCATCCTCAGTTTTCTTTGCTGTTATTCCGCTTTATTTTATTCTGATTTTTATGTTTTGTGTACCTGACCCTTGTATCCATGGATTAATCACCTAGTTGTGGCTGCCCTGTCTTTCTAACCCTTCATGGTTATTAAGGTATTCCCTTGTTTTACACTCCGCAACCTTTTCTGCGCATAACATCGCGACATTCAAGATGGCGGCCGTTCTTCCCTCTGGCCTGAAAAGAACAGACAAGGGCCGCTTTTGCGGAGCGAAAGTTTCTATTCGTAATAAGAATGCCGCAAATCGGCAGACAGCTTCCTGGTCTGCTCTCGAAAAACAAGAAAATGAAAACGTCTGCAATCTCAAAACCATGTCCGCGGTGACACCCGATTTATTTTTTCAGGTTTTGCTAAGAACAGGCTAATAAAGAACGTATTTGAAGAAGAAAAGTTGGTTTGTAGAACATAATTTTTTTTCGGAAAATAGTTCCGTACTTGGTGTGTTTTGGACAAGGCGAGGACTTCAAGCTAACCACGGAACTGTCCGAAAAAGTGCAAAATCCCCACAACCAGACAATCATAAACAGCTAAATTGAAGCAATACTGCTCATTTTAATAAAAGAAGCTTTAATTTCAAAACAAAACTTTGTGTCTTTCAAGTTACCAAGGCTGTATTCTGTATGAGGGTGATTCGAATTTTTAACGCGCAACCTGTAAAAATACCCCATTTAAAAGCCTGCTGACGCGTAAACAAGCGCGGTGACCTCATTTCTTTATTGCATTTTTTTAATGTTGATATCATGAATGTTAATTATACCAAGTTTCGAAAAAAGTTTGATAGTAGAACAATTTCAAGGGAATTACCTGAAGAGCAGCCTGTACCCTCTACATAATTTAAAGTTTTTGCAATTTACTTGAACTATTGGGTACAAAGTTGCTGTTGTTGTTGAAAAAGTATACTCGAAAGAGTCATTCTATTATACGGTATTAATTAATGACCAAAGTGGAGACATAGATTTAACACCTGGACCTCACTTACTCCCTTTGTTATTACTGAGCGCTATAAACCTCACAGAGCGATTCACTCAGCTCACCTAAATTCCAGAGTTATTACATCCTGGAAAACGTTTGAACACCACCCTAACCTCATTGCCATAAGCCCACACCACAAAATGAAGCCATCCAACCATGTGGTTCACAACACCAGTAATTGTAGTCAACCACACCATATCAAAATATCTCATCAAGACTGAGTGAAGTTCCATGAGCTCAAAGATTTGTTCTCAGGGGGCGCCTTTTATGTTTTCACGATTTTCAAGATACGGTTTAATCTTTCGGTTAAGAACAAAGCATACACTATCGATGACTATAAGCTTGTCAGACTAGACAGACATGCAAAAACTGGCCTCAATGTAAATTCTTTCGTTAGATATTTCTTTAAGGTCACACTGCTTCGAGACCTTGCAAAAACATCCAAGTGCGGTCCACAACAGCTCTAGCTAAGTCTTAAATACTAGACATTGAGGTCACTGAAAACTTGGGTTGTGTATCGCCCCTACCCCCCAAACAAAATGCTTCCAGCATGTAGCTACGCTTCGAACGATACTACAAAAACTGAAGATCTCAAGTACAATTTGCTTATGCGAATGTGCCTTCTTTGAACGAACGAATAGGGTTTATCATATGGCTTAAGCTTGTGGCTAATAAAACCCACGCTCTGATTGGCTTGAAGAGTAGGGGATTATGCAGTATCACTACCCGCACGCTGATTACAGATTATGTAAATTAGAATTTGGCCTAGCTCTACAACCATTTAGTATAAATTTTTATTTCTTGGTGCTACGTGTTAATTTGTTACGGCTCATCCACTTGCATATCTAACTCAGGTCAGAATTTAACTTTGATTCGATTTCAGATATTGATTTTGCAGTGTAATGAATTACAGTGTCAACAGCGTATATTGTTATTTTACCGTACACAAGTTCATTTGGTAGATAGTTTAGAGAAAAAAATTATAAGAAGAGGTCCTAGGATGGAGCCTTGAGTTACACCAATGGAAACTGTAGCTGGGTCGGACTTGATGCTGTTATAGCAGGTCACTTGGTTTCAACAGGAGAGCAAGGACAAGCAGTGATAGTAGAAGACTTGGGCCTAACGCCAAACTGGGCGCTTGAAAGAAATTCGTTTTCTGAGAGGTACATATAAAAATGTACGTGTACACCTTTTCAAGTACTTTACCCAAAGTTAGTAACATTGAGATTGGCAGACAATTGGACGGATCGGCTTTGTCACCCTTCTTGAGCAATGGAACCACTCTGGCAGCTTTCCAGATTAAAGATATTGAAGGACACGCGTCTCTCTGCATAGACGGAACAAATAGAGTAGTCAAAGAAAGTGCTGTCACATTGACAGATTCCTTTAGAAGTAGCATACTAATCTTGTCAAGGCCAATAGACAATTTTCGGCTTCAAGCTTTTGATGAAGTTGATGACAAACTCTTCAGGAATTGCCTTGAAAGGGAAAATTGCATTCGTAACAACTGCGGAGACTTCATATGAAGAAACAGAGAACGCTGAAGCAAATTTAAGATCACTGTTTACAAAAAATGTATAAGTGACAATATGATAGACTGAGGGAAAATTGTAATAGTTCCATCCACAGTGAGGCTTGAAATGGTAGGGCCACCACCTGAGAAGGAACCGTCTTCTTTACTGCACTCCAGAACTGGTTGGCGTTGTCTTCTCTGTCCTTTGATCAAATTCGTGTAATATTCTCCTTTGGCTTTCTTGATAGAGCGGTTACCTCTGTTTTTTAACAAGCGATACATCGCCAAATGCCTTCTGCTTTTAATTCCTTTAGCTTCTTTCAAGGGGAAGCTGTGATCTATTATGGGTGAAGCTAACTGAGACGTCATCAATACATTCAGTGTCATTGAAAACAGTACGCCACGCAACTTCTTCCAAGTCGTTGACAAAAGGCTGCTTGTCAAAATGAGAAAATGCACAAACTTAAATCCTGTCAGTCATGGGGGAGTTCAAATGCATCCTGACTAAGATTAAAAACTAAAGAAGTGAATGATCGTTAAGTCCTGGGTCAGTGACTCCAGAGTCCACTATTTTTTCTCATTTTCATTAGTAAATATTAAATCGATGGGAGTTTTCAAACACTCAGTAACACTTGCTGAGATTTAATCAACTAAGACAGTAAGTCTCAGCAAGAGGCAGCAAGTCCCTTGAGTTTTCGTTTCAGGGTGAAATTAACATTTTTACTGTTTGACGAAAAGTAGATATTTTATTCGCCAATAACTATATCAAATTCAGAATAAATTCCTGACGATGGAATATCCAGGATTTCCGAGAAAGCACCCCCACACCACACACATCTTCCCAAAAAACCAACTGCAGATCCTCGCGGCAGTAAATCACAACCCAGCCACGGCTTCGTTTCTTGCAATTCAAGCGAATACATTGATATCCCGGCAAATGGATATCAGCGTAATCCGTAGAATCATTGGGCTACGTTTCTGACAGAGTCAGAAAATCGTAGTTTCCAGCAGAGGCAAGCTAAAGTTGTTTTAGTTTCCTCAGAGCTTCTTCCACTGAACAGAAGAGGTAGAAAACAAACCAAATATATCTTTAACTGACAGATAAATCAAAATGAATAACGTTATAAAACCATGGAATGACTCTGCAAAAGGGCTTTGGAGAATTGACAACTGATAGAGAAATGTTCTACATAGTCTTCATTTCAGCAATACAAACAGTCACTATCTTGTTTAATAATGAGTTATAATGAGTTATAATGTATGCGCGCCGAAGTATGGCTGCCACGTTT